GTTTTGCAATTTTTTTTTTTTTTTTTGGTGTGAAGTGTACATAGTTCTATAGAAACATTTTTACAACTAGCAGGATATACATAAAAATTCTTTAAAATAAAAAACATCATGGACAAAAATGAAAATTTTCTTCTTACATTTGGTAAAAAAATTTAGCTTAGCTTTCTAATTAGTTGTTTTTTTTTTATATAGACTAGCCCTTTATTGAATAAAAACAACTTTTTCTTAGAGAGTTCAGATCTATAAAGTACATTCTGAATATATCTTTATACAGATTATACAGATATATATATAACCATAAAATCCTACAAATGTTTTCACAAACTTTGCTTTTAGTTGTAGCAGGTAATACTTCCATTTAATTTTGTACACATATATATATATATATGTATATACATATAAAAGCTGAGAGGAAAACTAAGTTTGTAAACACATCTTTCTATTTCATACAATCCCATCATAGATTAGAACATTTTTTTTAAGCACAGACATTCTTAAAACACTGTATGTGAACCAATGGGAAATAGGGTTTACTAATGAATCCACTCATTTATCCAAGTGTTCCAGAAAGGCAAGTTTGAAAGAAAAAGATCACTGCAGTTCGAGATAGTACAGGCTGGGAAACAGCTTCAAAGGACATCTTGGTCAGTCTTTACAAAATCTCTTCTATTTGGTATATGATGAACAGTTTCTCATTCAGCTCAAAAAAAACAACAACAAAGTTTTCTTCATTTATAATTTTTTTAAAAAATAATTTACTTCATTCTTCTAAGATTAATTACGATAATTCAATGCAAGAAGATCGTGCCAAATACTTGTTAAATTTTAAACTATGAATGTTTTGTATATAAAACAAAATATTTACTTTCTTTTGGCGTGTACATACGCAACATTAAATAATTTGTGCATTAGCCTTAAACATAATTACGACACATGCATTTTCATTGTACACACAATTCAGAGGATGCTCAAATTCATTTCTTGAAATAGTAGATTTGTAAATGTATATAGTTCTCCAGCCTTAAAAATTCAAACTTAGAGGTGATGTGTAAAACATTAACAGAAATCTGTGGTTACTAAAAATAATTCTACTGCAGCAAAGAAATACGAAACGGTCTTTATCCTTGATGTGAAATACAGTGGGAGAAGTGAAAGGAAATTCGACCAGCATAAAATCTGTGTGAAAAGTAGAATAATGAAAATAGGGGGTGCAAGAAAAAAAAGAGAACATTTCAAAATGTCGCTATTTAATCAGTCATATTTATTTGTTTGTAGTCAAGCATAAATATACTCAATGGGCTCTCTGTGCCGTACCCTCCACGGCTACTGAAATCAATTTTTAGCATTATAAGTCTGCAGACATACCGCTGAGCCATTGGGGGACAGTCATATACACTGAACCGCAAAAGAAACGTCGCAGTAATTAGAGGAAAACATGATACAAGAATG